TGTACCAATGTCTCCAGTATATACAAAACACTGCCTATCAGAACGTCAGGGAATGACTCCACTTTTAAGTATTTTAAGTACCTTCTACATTTTCATTTTTCCTCGAGTATGGGAAAGAAGGGTTCTGGAAGCGTTATGAAATCATACTTAATGATTTTTACATCCCATCTGTCTCCTTACCCACAAATGGAATGATATACGTTGAGGTGGAGGCTGGCATAGGTGCCTTAACTGAGTCAGAAGCATAACACTTTGCAAGAAGAAAAGATAGAGAAAGCCTGGGCTGACTCGGAATCACCACTAGATTATTAAATTGAGCCCAAATAGTACTCACATCCCTGAATACAGAACATCCACTACATTTCTTTAATCCTTTTTGTTTCCTAAGGAAAGGGGACTTGGATTGCAAACAATATAATAATGACAAAACTCGTCCTGAATGGACAGATACTACTTTCATGGGTCTTAAATCCATCAAATTCAAGTCAGCAGACCAGTGTCTACAAATATTAGCTAATATTAATTGACTATTTCCTTTATATCAAGCCCTTTACGAGTTTATTGACTGATTTAATCTGAGCAAAATTCCTACATATTTCTACCCATTCTATTTTAAAGATAAGAAACCTGAATTACAGAAAGTTTGATGTCCCCAAGATCCCAGTGCCAGGAAGCAGAGGGCAGAATATTAAAACTGGCCTTCCGATTCCAGAGCCCATGTTTTTAATCACCAAGAACTGTGTCTCAGGTGTAGCAGGCTGGCCGGGCAGCCAAATCTTGCCCCCAAATATTATGAAGGTTTGATCACAAAAGAAAAATAGTCACTCCATTCATCAGAGAGAGACAGAGATAGAGAGAGATCTCCCACAAGACGAAACGACCCGTATTCTTTTGACAGTCCCAACCTGTTTGCCTCCCCCAATTGTAGCCATCCAAACATGACTGGTTATGCCTGAAGACTAATGAGAAGGTCCAAAGTTCCCATATTAAAAATAGTCTCTTAATGAGGGACCAGCCCGTGTTTCTTCTTTTCTTTCTGTAAAGCCGACCTTCAGTTGCTTTTGATGTCCTGGGAGGAAGTGATGACAGCAGCTGGGCTCCTGTGATAACAGCTGGGCTCCCTTGCCACCAGCTTATGAGTAGCAGATTTTCTTAGTTTGGTCTCACACTTTTTTTAAAAAACAAATTTACCTTTTCTTTTCTTTTATATTTTTATTTTTAATGTGCACTAGTGTTTTGACTGTCTGTATGTCTGTGAGGCTATCGGATCTCCCGGAACTGGAGTCACAGACATTGTGACCTTCCATGTGGGTGCTGCAAATTGAACCCGAGTCCTTTGGAAGAGTGGCCTGTGCTCTCAACTGCTGAGCCATCTCTCCAGCCCCTGGTCTCAGGTTTTTGTCTTTGCCAACAAAATATGAACTGATTTAGTTTACAGTTATGTAATGATAAAATAAAATGTAATACTTAGTCTCAATCCACTGAAATTACAGAAAATTTCATTGACACACAAAACAACCCATGTTTGCTCTGATAAGACAGTGGTGTGAGAAGACTTTGTTCAGAGTTGCAATCTTTGATACGAGTCATTAAAAAATAAATCTTTGCACACGGTTCCCCACAGGGGACCTTTAAAGAAACATTGGAGCTATCTATTATTCAACTTACTGGTCTCTGTCCTCAAGACAGATGAGGAAATGTCCCTGCAGAATGTCAAGATTAATGAGATATGCCATTTGTCCCAAATCTGCCAGGATAGTCGCAAACTTTAAACTATACTGCATCCTGAGTATAGTATCTCCACATAACCGTGTCTGTAAGGGACCTGGAATTTTAAAGGTTACTCTGTACAGTCTCTGTCAAGAAAAGCAAGAACTGCAGAAGGACAAACACTGCCCCCTACTGAGAGGAGAGAAGAAGTCAAAGCTTATAAACCCATAAACTCTGTAAACAGCAACATGTTCCAGGCTAGTCAAAGGGAGCTAGTGTGTTCTTTGCTCTCCCTAATGGGTGCTCCCATTTGACATGTAGGAACAAATATTTAAGCAACACACCATATTTCCAGTAAAAGGGCATCAAAGGTTGCTTTGTCCAAAGTAATGAATCCAACGTTTCCTTACAGGCAAAATAAATGGCAACCCTCACCATTATTTTACCTACTGCCTCCCCAGAACTTTTCTGGAGTTTACATCTTTTAAAGGTTCACAAATCGTTCCCAAACCAATCTAATGCTTCCAGATAAGGGAAGAAAGTAAGGAGGGTAGTGAGAGGTAAAGAGGGTCAATAGAGCCTAAATCATTTAAATATCTGAATATGTGTTGTTACTCTCTAGAGCTCACCATTCCTATTCCTTCCCTCTGGGTAAACATACTGATTTATGAGAAAGTGTTGTAAGTATAAAATATTAAGCCTTTTTATAAGTACTGTTTATCTCATAAAGAAATAATCTTAAAAGATGGGAGGAAGTCGGAGTAATTTAGAATTTTGTTCAGTTTCTGTTCCTAGTGCCAGAGTGATAATAAAATGGTAGCCACATGGAGGTTAGTAATGACTTTGTGGAGAGAGGAAAAAGAAGGAAGCGAGTTATCCCCCATTGGCAGAAATGGTGCCTCTGAGACGACATCAAATGTAAAGGATAGGGAGGGTAAGACGACAGTCATCCCTCTGTGACCATGGAGTTCTTTAACCATGTCTTCAACCAAATATGGATCAAAACTGTTTTTAAAAACTGTATTTATATGAGAAATATGGACCCCACCTTAGTCACCTAAACTGGCAGTCCTCCACTTCTTAACACTTCTGGTTCAAGGACTAAGAGCCACAAAAGTTACTAGTTATCTGAACCAAACGTGCACAGATCAAGCCAGCCTGGAGTGGGGAGGGGCTCACCAGCCCTCACCCCTGGCTGAGGGTCTTTAGCAGTTGATGGCTGCTAAGGAAAGGAGAATCAGTTTTCTTTAAGGGTGTGGCCTCTGGTAGGTCCATTATGTTCCACTGGATGGTCCCACATCCCTAAGTACATGGCCACCAAAAATTGGATAGTGGATTAAAAAAAATAAAAAAAGAAACCTGAACACCTGGTACAGGTGGGAAAGTTGACCCCAGGGTCAAGATAGCAGAGAGTAGGAGACCTGGCCCTGCCCCCACTGACTGCAGTGGGTCTCGCACCTCACCTGGGCAGCACAGCAGAGCTGACCCTGGTGGTGTAGGTGTGGGTGAGCCGCCCCCAAGGGAGTGAGAGCAAGAGAACAGGACCCACTCCTTGCAACTTGCTGCATAGAGTGAGCTAACTGGGGCAGTGGTGAGAGCTTACCCTAGTGATGGGGATGAGGAGAGCTGGTGGGCTGACCAACCCAGCTACCCTTCAGGCCCAGAACCAGGGCTGTGAGTTGGCCCACCTCAACATCTACACCATCTAGGATCTGCTAGAGCACATGAAGGGGCCAGTCCTGTAGATCCAAAGCTGCAAGATCAACATGATACAGAGCAACAGCAAGATGTCCAAGGGGAGTCTCAGTGAGGGCCCAGCAGAAGCCAGAGGCCTTAAACCAAACCAATGACTCAGTTGCAGTGAACACTTGCAAGTAAAAATGTATGGACTAAAGGGGACACTGTGTGACTCACTGTGTCACACTGCAGCTTCCATGATGTGTAATTTTTACTTTAAAATTTTATTTTGTTTTTTGTAGGTTGCAGGGGCAGAGGGTAGACTCAAAGGGATGGGAGAGGAACTGTTTTGGGATGCATGATGTGAAATCCACAAAGAATCAGTAAAAAATGGAAAAAAAAGAGGAGGAAGAGATGTGAAATTGGGAGGGGCAGATCTGGGAGGAGTTAGGAGGAGGAGTAGAAGATGTATAGTAGAAAATATACTAACAAAAAGACAACTATCCTAGGAATGTTAGATTTTATTTGATAAAAAAATGATCTATTTCTTCTTAAAACAATACAAAACATAAAATAGTTCAGATCATTACTATTAAAGTTCTGAAAAATATCATGTTCTGTTTTCAAAAAATATGTTCGTATAATCACAAAATTATTAATCATACAAATAGTAACTAATATGTATTACATGCTTGTATATACTAGATATTCATAATCCTCAAAATAGAACTATTATTATAACTTTTGAAACAGGAGACTGAGAATCAGAGTGGTGAAGACCTTCCCAACAATTAAGGGCAGAAGTCAGAACATACATCTAGGTGTTTGTGGCCATACCACTCTGGGTATGTCTGACATCATAAACTAAGTGAGGCTGGTCCTGGTTAGTACCTGGATGGGAGACTGTGTATCCAGGCAACCTGACTCCACACTCCACAGGCTTTCTTATAGTATCATGCTGCCTTTAATTCAAATGAAAATAAAGTGGGTATGTCATCATTTTCAATATCATCTTGATTATTTTGGCACTTTTTTTTTTGGTTTTTTTGAGGCAGGGTTTCTCTATGTAGTTTTGGTGCCTGTCCTGGATATCACTCTGTAGACCAGGCTGACCTTGAACTCACAGAGATCCGACTGGCTCTGCCTCCCGAGTTCTGGGATTAAAGTCGTGTGCCACCACCGCCCAGCATTAGGCACTTATTTTTAAGCAAGCTGTGGTATCTAAAAATCTTAGTAAATATTCTTTTAAGAAAGACTTCCTTCCAGTCCTGGAATCTCAGAGTGATAATCCCAGCTTCTCAAGAAGCTGGGGTAGGAAAACCACAAATTCAAGGCCAGTCTGGGCTATAGAAGGAATTCAAGTGCATTCTGGGAAACTTGTCAAGATATATTCTCAAAAAGAAAAGAAAAGAAATGAGGATGAGAGTACAGGTCAGTGGCAGAATGACTGCCTAGCATGTGCTAGCCCAGGGTTTGATCCCCAGTACTGGGGCAGGGGTTGGGGGAGGGAGGGGAGGTAGGGGAGGGAGGGGGCAGGGAGGAGTAAGACTTCATTGGTACATAAAGGCAAAAGGAATAAATCATTATCAGGCCAAAGCTTCCCACACCTTAGCTGGTTTACCAGACATTGAATGCCTACTAGCTGTACACTGGCTGTCTCTTTTGAATGGTGTAACAAAATAATTATAGAGTCGTATGAGTGCCTTAGTTTGCTTTCTGTCGCTGTGATACAATAATGACCAAACCAACGTCAGGGAGGAAAGGGTCTCTTTGGCTTATATTTCCGTGTCATAGTCTGTCATTGAGGGATGTCAGGGAAGGGCCTCAAGGCAGAAGCTCAGAGCGGAAATCGACAGAGGAACACTGTTTACTGGCTTGCTCCCTCCTGCTTGTTTAGCTATCTTCCTTGTAGAATTGAGGACCACTTGCCCAGGGATGACATGGCCTACAGTGGACTGGACCCTTCTACACCGATTAACAATTAAGATATCCCACAGTCATATCCATAGGCTAATGCAATGGAAGCAATTCCTCACTTGGGGTTCTCCCTTTCTCAGATGTGTCAAGTGGGCAAGTGTGTGTGTGTGTGTGTGTGTGTGTGTGTGTGTGTGTGTGTGTGTGTGTTCATGAGTTCATGTGTACCACATAAATGCAGGTGACCACAGAAGATGGTGTCAGATTCTTCCCTGGAACTAGAGTCACAGCCCACTGTGAGCTGCCTAATATGGGTGCTGGAGAATAACCCTGGGTCCTCTGCAACAGCAGTAAGTGCTCTTAACTGCTGAGCCATCTCTCCAGCACCCCAAGGTATTTTTAATATTTTAGCAACAGTTTGGTTGTTTTCTTTTATACTTCAATGGTTCTTTTATACTTCAATGCTACTTTCAATGCAGAATGTATTTGCTGATGACAACCATTTTATTCTTTGTTATCTTACCCTCCAAGCATATAATAAAACACTACTCACAAGAAGTTTTGTCTAAAAACTTTATTGAAGAGAAACTATAACATCAACCTTCAGGTAGAAACTAGAAAATTCTAGAACCTAGAAGTACTGTAAAGGCACTCTGACTCCATTTATCAGTATCCTGATGCTACTGAAACACAAAACACAACTAAAACAATCAGTGACATTTACCACAGATTATGCTTGTTCCTGTCATCACCTCAGATAACATCAAGAAATGATGTAAGTTCATCAGTTTTCACGGTCATCTCTGTAGGTGAAGGACAGGCTGCTCCATGGGTGAGTTGTACAAAAAAAGGAAGCAGAGGAAATAGGCTCACTTGTTCTCTGGGAGTTCAAGGTCTTGATCACTGTTGGCAACAGCCGTGCTCCACAGCAAAGCCCTTCGGTCAACGCCATATCCTGCAGGAATTGTCCTTGCTACCTGATGAAACAAATTGCACGATCATTTCCCTCTTATCTTACTTCTGTTATCCTCTCTTCAAACAGGCGGACTTTGTCCTGGGTCACTGCTACTCAGCCATGTGTGAAACGTGAGGCTTTCCAAAGGACAGCTTACCAGGAAGTCACACAATTGCTGATAGTTGGGAAAAACGTTCAATGCACATTCTTTTCCCCACATATTAACACTGGGCCATTTTCCACATCATCTGTGGAAAATGAAATGTCCTGACTTGTTTACATTATTGGTGTCTACTACCATCAGCTGAGCAGTAACCATCAGAAAAGTAGAGTAACCAGCTAGACAAGTTCCAAAATGGCTACCTTACCTAGAGCAACAGAATTAAATTAAATTCACCATCAGTGGCAGAGGGCACTCTTGTGAGTCCTGGTGCAACTGAATGGGAACCTGGCATGGTGGCTAATACTTCCAACCCTAGCACTGAGGAGGCTGAGACAGGAGGATTACTGCAAGTCTGAGGCCAGGATGTATAGCAAGACCCTGTCTCAAAATATTTTTTAAAAGCCAATAATAAGAAAAAAAATTCAATAATGGAAGTAAAATGAAATTCCAGGATAAGCCAGACCCCCTGGAAAACTGAGCAGAGGTTGAGCATGAACTCCTTTTAACATTCTTCTTAAAATTCTAGTAGGCAATTTAAAAGGAAAACTAGCTCTGTGATGTGTATTTCTCTCATACCTGTAATGACTATATTTCCTTTATAGTTGAAAGCACATGAAAATATTTCATCGGTGTGCCCCTCCAAGACCTGGAGGCACTGGCCAGTCTGAACATCCCAGATTCTGGCTGTCTTATCAGAGCTGCCCGTCAGGAGTCGGTTTCCTTGGGGATTGAAAGAGATCTGCAAAATAACAAAAGAGATGATAATAAGTTGAAGTTTGGGTTAATATATTCCCATTAGCAAATAGAGGGCTGTATCCATCTTCTCCCTGGCCTTTGTTTATTTTTACTACAATTGATTCCTGATGAGAAAAATATAGGGACTAATATTTGAAAATTGAAACCTAGATGCTAATATTTAATTGCTTACTTTCTCACAATTCTAATCGTAAAAGACCAAAGCGCCTGAATACTTTGGATATTCCCCAACAGTTTCTTCACAAAGACTCATGGTTCTCCCTCCTCACTCAAAAGAGAGGCAGAGCCGGGCTGTAGATAAAAACAAAGCAGGCTCTATCTGTAAAGTCCAATGTCACCACTGCCACACATTCTTCTGTCACTAAAACCACATGGAACACCCCCCACCCCCGGAACACACTCCCATCCATCTGTCTGTACCAGAGAAAGAGCAGGCACCCAGGGCCACAAGAGGATTTTCATCTATTGCCACCCAAAATGCATCACTTTCAGATAATACGTTTGGATGCTTCCCTGGGGCCAGGCATTCTCCTTCAGTGTCTGAGTGGCAGAGGCATTCGCTGCTGGCCCTTGCATTCCTCTGATATTCCCAGTGATAGCCCTCTGTATTTATCACGTGTCAATGATTTGAACCACTTCCACTGGGACTGGAAACACAAGGAGGACAAGTCCATGTCTGTTTCTCATCACTGTCTCACCAGTGTCGGCAAACACCTGGTGTGGGGGACGCTCTCCAAAGGTGATTACTGACACCTGCACTCATCTAAGCCATGCTAATGAAACCCACTGGATCACACATGCAAAAGTACGTGAAGCTAGAAAGAGGGCTAATTGGAAATAGGAAGGGAATCACAGGAAAGACAAGGGAAGGTAATCGGGATAAATATGATCACAAAACATTATATACATGTATGAAAATGTCATAATAAATCCGTTATTGTACATAAGGAATATATCCTAATGTTTTAAGTATTTAGTGAATGAATATATAAGATACTAATTGTTTGAGCTCTGTACTCCTTATAAACATTATTGGAACAGTAATTTCATGAGCAATATATTTTTTTCATATGCATATAATTTAATAATATAGAATTCAAGATTTTCTTATAGTCACATGTTCACAAAGAAAAATACACACTCATTGAGGGGAAATGCCAAATATGACGACAGCTATCCTCACAAATATGACCCAGGCTGCCCTTCCATGTCCGACTTTCCCATACCCTCCTGCCATCCCATTACCTCTCAGTCCATGAAGTGATCAGCAACACCCATTGCCCTGGATACCAGCACCTACCAGCCACAGGGCAATGGCCACCAGCAATAGGGGTAAAAGATGGAGGGACAGGTATACACATGGTCAATGCTGAAATCTCGCTATAACCTTCGGAGTTCTGACGCCATCAAGCTATTATGTCATAAGGGAGTGGCAGGGAAGATCTCACATATAAAACCAAGAATTTGGGCTGAGCTGGGAGGCAAGAGCTCCCCTCACTCAGTCTAGCATACTCTGTCATGTTCTGGGGACACATACAAACCTCAGACACTCACTGAGTGGCTCTGCTCTGCGAAGCTTCTAAAAAGTGTATGATAAAACCCTGAGATACAGCCCTAGAGTTTCACGAAGGATAAGTTCACACTCTGTTAAATATTTCCAAACATCACTCCTTCCATTCCATCTCATTTACAGAACCCTTGAGGCACCGCATGCTTTTTTTTTTTTTTTGCATAATACAAACTTACATGCTTACTAGAGCTAGAAAAAAGCACTTTACAAGCTCCTTAAATTGCTGAGTTGGGTATTTTCAGCTAATTAAATATTTGCTGATGTTCGAAAAGAATACTGTTTCATGCTTCTTAAGTGTCTAGGAAATCATTTCTTTTTGCTGAATCAGAGGGGGCATGCTTAGAAATAAAGGCTTAGGTAGTTGGGTTTTAGGGCAGAATGATATAATTAAAGAGACTTGAGCACTTTAGTCCCAATACACCTATTTTTTGTTTTGTTTTATTTTTTTGTGGGGTTGGGGGGCGTGGTTTTGTTTTTTGGTTGCTTAGAATAGCTCAGGCTGGCCTTGAACTCCTGATCTCCATCTCCAACATGCTACAATTACAAGCATGTGTCACCATGCCCAGGTAATCCCTGTAAGATCTATAGAACACTACATTTTATGTAACCAACACTAGATGTAGCTCCATCTCCATGTATTTCTCTATGAAATAAATGAGCTTACTAGTATTTTGAAAGGAAAATTAACTGAAATTCCTGGACTCAAAATCCAGTCTGATTCATCCACATTTCTCTGCTCTCCAACAGGAAGCCACTTTGGTAATGGATGTAGGAAAGATAATGAGTAGCTTCAATGGTATTTTCAAGAAGTGTTATCAGTTGCTTTAAGTGGTGTTTTCAGTCACTCTATGTGAAAATTCATCTTAAACTAATCATCAAATGCAGATATGACATAAGCAAGTCCAATGATGTTACTCCTCAGCCATTCAACTCCAGGAGCTCTAGTAATATTGGACACCATATTAGACTCATTGAGGGCTCAGCAATATGTCATTCTAGGGACTGGAGAGATGGCTCAGTGGTTAAGAGCACTGATTGCTCTTCCAGAGGACCCAGGTTCAATTCCCAGCACACACATGGCAGTTCACAACTGTCTGTAACTCTAGTTCTAGTGGATCCGACACCCTCATGCAGACATACATGCGGGCAAAACTCCAATGCATTTAAAAATAAAAATCTTAAAAAAATGTCATTCTGTTCACTTAACTTGGTTTTATCTTTCTTCTTTCTACCTCAAGCCACTTAATATCAGAAACATTACTTCTCTGCCTGCTCCATTTTAATAAATATGTTGGTTATGTTAAAGGGTGAGTTCTGATCTATTAACTCAGAGGGTTAATTTGTAGCTTCTATTATACTACTCATATTAAACATGCTCTTCTTTTTTTTTTCCAGTGAACACACTGATCCAAATGAGAAGGCAACTCACCTTTGAGATTTCTCCTTCATGGCCTTCCAGTTTGGTTATACATTTTCTTGTGGTTGCATTGTAAACTCTTGCCGTCCCTTTTGGAGAGGGATTGGAACATACATTAATCCATCTGAAATGCAATATGTCACGTTACCTAAAAAATCCATCCTCTGACAAATGAGCTCTGCACTGAGTTTGTCCTTCCTGTGTTGAGAGTCATGCTCAACCTTCTAAACGCAAGCTGTCTGGCTGCAGAAGAGACTGCACAGGACTTGCACTCTATCTCTGACATTGTTGGAAGAGATCATGGGCTTCCAAGTAGAAGAAAGTATGATGTGTGGAATAAGAAAAAAGTGGAATAGATAAAATGATTTTTAATGTTATTTTAGAATTGGTATGTTTATAAACATAAAGCTTACAGCTGAGATGCTTCACAATCCAGTAACACAGAAATGTGGGGCACCTTAAAAAGGAAGACTAGGGACTTGAAATATGGTATGTGATGCACAGACCCCTCTTTGACATCATCGCTATGTACAAGACAGGATAAGAATGAAGTCAGAAGGCAGATGCTGGTCCCACATCCCACTCCACAATATCCTAACTCTGTGTCCTGACATGAGGTTCCTTAGCTACTTTATGTACACTTTAGCTCCCTCAGCTGCAAAATGGGGACAACAATTAGGCCAGTCTGGGTTAATTATCTTTTACTGAGCAACAAACTAATCCAAACTTATGAACCTCAAACAATAAACATTTGTCATTTTGGAGATAAACAAGAATGTTACACATCTCAATGCTTCTTAGGGAGCACAGAATCAGAAGAGGTTTAAGAATACCCTAAAAGAAAAAGAAATTGTTTTTGAAGTAATGGTTTGTAGAACAATGGAAGAACAGAATCACTATTGGAATAAACAACAGGTAACAAGGAGATAAAAACTAGAATGGAACTTGTACTTTAGCAAACTCCTCATTCCTTGTAGTGAGTAGCTGTTCCAGCTTTGACCTTGAAGCACTGCCCCTAGTGAGGCAGCAGGTTAACTGCCACACCTATCTATGACCTGCCCCTGGGGCGTGGCCGAGACGAGACCCTTTAAGATCTGAAATGTGTATGTGCCGGCTCTCTTGGCTCCTCGTGATCCTGGATACTGGATTGCAGACCAAGTCCGAATTCTCACCTCTTCTGGATCCTGTAACCAACCCTTTACTGGTTGTAAGTTACCCTGAAATAAACCTCTTTTAATTACCAGATAAGCTACATGAAATTGCCTCGTTAATTGCTGCTATAATTCCTCAGCTTTCTGATCCTCCAACCTTTTCCTCAGTAAATGCTGTTGAGTGACTTCCAATATTCTATGCAACCTAACAGTTTATGTAATAAATATGTATGGATGATTAATTATGTCCTGTCTTACTTTCCATAACATAACTTCATGAGGAATATGTTGAATTATCCACAGTATGATAAACTACCACATAAAATCATAGAGAGTTTTCAAGGGCATGATATAGATACCAGTATTACATTATGTGTGCTTATGAGGAAAGAGGTGAGCTTATGCAGCATTCCACACTACTCTAAGAAAACATGACACAGGTATATCTTGGCATCGTACACAAAAGACAGAGGTGGTTATACAGAAATACAAACTAAGAGAGTAGTGAGGTGAAGTATCACACAATTTCATGCAATGTTATCAAGGACTAGACCCAGCCTAAAGCCTACAGGTATTTACTATGGGTATGCAATATTGTGTAGAATCACACATTATTCTCAAGGATATGGTGTGCATTCAATATGATAGCTTATACAGATTGTTTAAAGATTTATTTTCTTTTTAATTGTGTGTATCTGTATGCGTCTGTGTGTAGGTATTATAGGCGAGTGCAGGTGCTGGTGGAGACCAGAAGAGAATGTTGCAACCAACAGAACTGAAGTTGCAGGCAGTTGTGAGCCACCCAACATGAGTTCTGGAAACCAAACTTAGGTCCTTCTTAAGAGCAGCAAGCACCCTTAACCACTGAACCATCTCTCCAGCCCCTCTTATACAGATATGATACAAAGCTATGATACAAAGTCATGTGTTACATCACTAAATAATGGAAGCATAGTGTGGTAGAATGCAAAATGTCAAACATCTTACACATAGAAAGTGTAGCATCAGTAAGGTCTTCAAGGACATGACAGTGTAGTGTTACACACAATCATTGGGAAGAAAAAGCAATCATTGTGTGGCATAATATATGGTACCAGAAGCTGTCACAGAAATAACATATCCACATTGTTTGGAGTGGCAGAACACATAAAGGAAATATGTCATTCATATCCATGGTATCACATATACGTAAAAGAAATGTCATGACATATTGTAGAATCAAAGTTGGATGTGGTGTTCAAACATCATCTTCATAAGATGATATAGGTATACACCGTATCAGCATATGGATACTCAGAATAAACTATATAAATCTGTATAGTGTTTTACCTCACTCTTGCTATAGCTCAAACTAGAGAAATCATTACAGTCAGAGATTGTTTAAATATGGTGTAATATCATAAAGGGACTTTTGGAGGTAAGACAGAACAGTATGACATAATATGGGATCACTGGGAATATGGCACTTATAGAATATTAAAGCTATGATACAGAAAAGAGAAAGCATGGTACCTGGCTAAATAGAAAAAGTACACATAGTATTGCATTATGTTTATCCAAGAAGGCCAGAAACTCATAGTGTATATCATACATGGTCAGCATGCATAGTGAGGCACCATAATGACACATACATGCTTCAATATGTCACTCAGTAACTAAAAGATGGCACATATACATTTAAATACACTGTCATCAAAGATAAACCTATAATATAATCTTGCATCGTAAGTGGATATCAAACTGATGTGACAGATGGCATTTCACCATACGTGTTTTTCAAAGAGAGGATGAGATAGTATCTCAGGTCATTTTCAAGGCCTTGGATTATATCGTGATGCATGGGACTCAGGAGGACCAGACAGACACAGACTATCACCAGACATAGTTACTAGGGACATGGAGACACAATGCAGCACCACATGTGGCCATCAGAAAGATAACAGAGACAGTGCATGCCACCCTCTGTGGTCTTTCTGGAGATGAGGCACATTCAGTGAAGATTTCTGTGTGCTGATCAACGATATAACACAATATAGTATGGGGCCTAGCTATTAAAGTGACATCAAAAATACAGTGGAACAGCATAAGAGATGACTTATATTAGTGTAGCATGCATTATATCTGAATGATGGCATTGACTCATTAAATACCATTTTTGTTCACTTGTTTTTGAGATAGGGTCTCATTACGCAGTCCTGGCTGGCCTGGAACTCACAGAGATCTGCCTGCCTCTGAGCCCTTTCTCTAGCACCTGCTCATAACAACCTTTGTTCAAAGTTACAAAGCTATGTTATAAGAAGTGATATTTCCATGATTGGTTTTATGATATTGATTTTATGTAAACAAATTCCTAGATTTACACAGTATAGCAGTCGAGAAAGAACCTATGAGACATATTTTGACTAGCTGTTACGAATTAAGGCATGTGATAACCAATAAAGAATGAGGACAGGGAAGCAGGTAAGGACTAACAAGAATTAAAGTCATTTAAAAGGACAGTATTTGGAGAACTTTTCTTTCCTGACATCAATATTTTCTTTATGCCACAGTAAATAGGACTGTGTGGTCTTGGCCAAAGAATAGACACAGGTTACAAATAGAGAGCTCAGAAGAGGTGCACACATATGGTCCCCACCTATTGCCCAGTCCAATTCAATGGAAGAAATAGAATATCATATGGATATAGGTATGGGAAGCAATGAGCTCACACTTCTATTTACTCCATATACAGAAACTACTGCAATAAAGTGTAAAAGCAAAAGCTATAAAATCTCTATATTGTATCTTGCTGCATGCAACAAGTTCCCCAAGACTTAGTAGGTTAAAGACTTGTTTATTACCCGATAGTCACTGTGTGAAGAACTCAGGAGGGGCTTTGATAGGTAAGGATATCCTTGTTGGACTAAAGGAGAGGGGGTGCCACCATGCTCAGTTTAAATACCATTCTTTATGGCTATCCAAAGGAAGAAGTGTATAGTGACATCACAATGATGTTTAATTTATGATTAATACATAGGGCAGCTTCATACATCATCAAAAAGATGAACCAAAATAGAATGTTACTTAAAAATGTTATTTATGATATCATGGATATCATAAACCATATACTACCATCATGCATCATTATCAAAAAGAGGTGAAAATAGAGTTTTCATGCCTACAATGCTATCAAAGATGTGAATAATGGCAGGGCATCACATAGTCTTTATAATATATCAACAGTATGACCATACTATGACATAAAATTTAAATATGAGGTACACTGTGTTTTTGTCATATATTTTTGTCATGTATGTAGATCAGGCATCTACAACATCATTCCACATCATCATAGACTTTCATAGCAGGATTACACACAGTTATCAAAGAGGCAAAGTAGTCAGACTACAGTGCCATATGTAGTATTCTAAAGTGTGTCTATATATATATATATATATATATATATATATATAATAACATGATACATAGTTGTCATGTACATTACCTACAGAATAGAATCATGCATAATTATCAGAAATTATAGACATACAATGTCATATTATTAACAAAGAGATGGCATATTAATGCAGCATCATATATGATCTTCAAGAAGATTATATAAGCATTGTGTATAGCTGATACAGTCAGTGAGATAATAAAACCAGTTGTAACAGAGACTACACTTATATAGTATATTACCATTATTCAATGGATTATGTGACACTGAGATTATCTGTAGAGAACATAGAGTAAGATATTGTTAATATTAATAATGTGTGTATATATATATATATAGTAGCATTATATAGAGTAAGATATTGTCAGCAGAGATTACACACTACAGGATTGTATAGAGTAAGATATTGTCAATAGACATCATGTATACATATATACTGAAGCATCATATAAAGTAGGATACTGTCAGTAAAGACAATGAAGATATATATCTTCATCATATAGAGTAAGAAGCTACCAGTAGAGCTCATATAGATATATATACCACAAGTATCATAAGGTAGATAAGATAAATGTGGCAAGTAACCTGACATAAATTTACCATAGTGTCAGAGGTGTTTTTTTTAACTTATGACTCTGATACACTGTGGCATAAAACATGTTCATCCAGAGGGTGTGGCTGACTGTGGATTCTCATAAGTGACCATCAGTGAGATGACAATATACTGTCATTTATGGATAGAAAGGAAGTGGCATGGCTTGACATAGCTCACATATAACATTCTCAAATGTCATTCACACAGTGAACAGCATCATGAGTGGTATTCAAGGAGATGAAACATAGACTGGTACTATACATAGGCATTTATGTGACTGTTTAGTGTAGTACCATAACTGGTCATCAAAGACATGACCTGCAGTGGGCTGCAAGAATATATTACAGAAATTCAGCTGTATATTAAAGCTATACCTAGAAAAGTCAAGGCATTTTTCTAGAGGAAGCCATTTATCAAGGAATATTTGGTGTTACTCAGTTTTTAATATATCAGCTATCTTTTGCTATGAAATTCTTGTGTGCCCATATACTACTAGGTCATAGGTCAAACAGACCTTCTGCTGATCTACTAGGTAACACCCCTGCAGGGCCTAGGAGACAGAGGGGCTATAGATGCATAGCTTTGTTTCTTGTATAAATGAAGCTCAGACCACCCCCTTGCCTTCAGGCCTATAACACTGAAGAGCTATTGACTCAGAAGAATAGGGTTTTTTGCATAACCAGGTGCAGTAAAGATTGGAGAGGAATTCCTGGCCAGAGCAGAGTCCCATCGCTGGGGGAGAAAGAACAAGGCAGTTTCTGTAGATGATAGACAGAACCATGTGGGCAGAGAGAGGACAACAGGGCAGTGTTTCTTAGAACCAGAGGTAAGGAGCAAGGAAGGAAAGATGGAGGACGAAGAAATAGAAGAAGAGGTCAAAAGCATAGAAGCTTAGTTAGGTTTATGACAGGGAAGTAGGTACAGAGAGGAACTGTATGTGAGGATGGAGCTGAAGCTATATAGATGGAGTTTTGTCGTAGAGAAAAAAAGTGATGGACAAAAGAGCATGGTGTACATAGATTCCTTTCCCTCGGATAACCCCACTCTGGACATAGCGTCTTCCCCAGGACCCTGGGAGGGATTTTCTCAGGGCAGGCCCTTGGAAAAATTCCATTAATGACCAAGAGCATAGTGTTGGAGAATGGACATGAAGGAGACTTCATGAATACTGTGTGGCATCATGTGTGGTGATCAAGGACAAGGACACACAATTATAGCACCATTTGTAGTTAACAAGCAGCATCATATATGATAATCAGGCCAATGGTACAAAATCAGAATGAGGACTTGGAGTTTCAAAAATATACAGGATCATCAGATAATGAGGACATAATATGGTATTGTATTTGCCTATGAACAAGGTAATGGAAGCATACTGTAGGGTATGTTTCTCACAGGGATTTGACAGCCATAGTGGAACAGCATATTATTTATAGAGTTCATGAAGTTTACTTTGGTAACATCAATAGTGGCCAAGTTGATAATCCCAAAAGAATGGAACATTGTGCGCAATCATCAAAGACATAACTGTGAACATGGGACCATACATACAGAAGACATCAAGACCTGTGGAGACATGTGTGGCTCTATCAAGGAGGTAACACAGACAATGGAAAAACATCGCATGTGATTATTAAGAATGCAACATAGACCCAGAATTTGTGAAACAATCAGCAATGCCCACTATTCAGAGATTGAGGCAGAAGGATCACAAGTTCAGGCCAGCCTGGGCTATGGAGTAAATTCAAGTCCAAGATAGACAACTTAGAGAGATCCTACCTCAAAATAAAACTCAGGGGATATAGTTCAGTGGAAAAATGTTGCTGAGCTCACACTAAACTGTAGATTCAATCCCCCAATATCACATATAGACAGAAAGAACGTGACAGGACACACTGTGGTGACATACGTGCCATCATGGAGATAAGACACATGTTTCCACCACAACAGGTTCTTGGGGAGATGGACCATGGTATAGAGTCAGGCACCATTTCCAAGGCAAACATAAATCCCTCCATAAGTTAACTGTGTGACAGATGACTTACCATCAGCAGAAGCTGTTGCAATAAGTTTCCCCGTGTAATCAAAGCAGCTGTCTAGTATTTCATCATCGTGGCCTGTTAAGGTTGCTACACATTTCCCACTTGTAGCATCCCACAACTGAAATTGAGAGAGACAGAAACCATCAACTAAGCAACTAAATTCCTCCCCAAATGGGAAGATGCCCAGTGATCTTCATGATATGAGTGTGCCCTGCTAAATAACTGTGCTAAAAGGATACATATAATTCTCTCTGACCAGTTAATTCCACTTTGATTTATGACCAAAGACCACAGCCAACCATCTGGTCACGGGAAAATCAAAGCTGAGACACTCAGAATTTTCCACATCATTAAGGAATTAAAAATCATCCTCAGTGATGTGCTTTCAGGGATTGGTATGAAGGGATCTTTTCTGTGACAAAGATTTCAGAGGACTATGAGTTTGATCCCAAACTATTATGACAGAAAATGAAAAGTACATCCATCATGAGATTTAAATGCTACTTGTATAAAGTTAAGTGACAAGTGATTATAGCCTCTCAGTAATTATTGTTGAAGAGAAGAGAAGAGACCCAATGGCAGGAAGAAACTTAGTTGAGGCTCTTTCAGGCCATGCCAATCGAAACATACTAAATAAACAGCAGAACACTGAATACAATTAATGTGGCTTTTTAAACAAGACCTTTCTTGCCTTTGAAGCAATCAAAATTGTTTTTTCACCTCATAGTTCCTTCACCCTTAGACAACTGGAAACTTGAAATAAAAAATAGCAATTATTATTTATAAATCAACTGTATAAATTATTATTTATAAATTTAACTATATGTCCTCTTAGAAGTCTGTTAGTGTTATGATGAACACCTGATGCGGTATAAAGGACAGAGACACAGTACAAAGCAAGGCCAACTCTGAGCTCACCATGCAGGTCTTGTCCATGGAGCCTGTCAGTATTAGAGAGCAATCCCAATTGAACAAGGCACTGCTGATCTCCGCACAGTGGCCAATTAAAGTGTGCACCTTCCTGCAAGACAGAAATGGTCACAGCTAGTAAACGATGTCCTGATTTCATTTCTGTGTGACAAGCCACCCTGAAGAAAGTGGCATAGGGGAGGAAGGGACTATTCAGCTCGTCATTCTAGGGTACAGCCCATCATTTCAGGGAAGCTAAGGCAGGGACTCAGACAGCTGGTCACACCTCAGAGGGAAGCAAGAACACCCCACACCCCATGCTGCCTGCTGGGTGCTGCTTCTGCACAGCTGGTTTTCTTCATTCTTAACACAGTTTAGGGCCCAGGACAGGAAATGGTGCTGCCCACATCCAGGGCGGGTCCTCCTACTTCGATGAACAATCAACACGAATCTCCCACAGACATGTCCATAGGCCATCCTTATCAAAATGATTCCTCACTTGGAGTCTCTCTTCTCAGGTGACTCTAGGCCAATGGTTCTCAACATGTGGGTCACAACCCCTTTGGCAAACCTCCATCTCCAAAAATATTTACATGACGATTCAGAAAAGTAGCAAAATTATAGTCATGAAGTAGCAATGAACATAATTTCATGATGGGGGTCACCACAACATGAGGAACTATACTAAAGGGTCACAGCATTAGGAAGGTTGAGAACCATTGTCCTGGGTTGTATCAGGTTAACAATAAAAACTAGCTACCACGGGTGTTTTACTACAGCACACACACACATGGTCAAACCCATATGTGTGAACTAAATTTTAGTATTTACAAAATTACATTTTTTATAATGAAACAAAAATAGTTTTGCAGCCGGGCGGTGGTGGCGCACGCCTTTAATCCCAGCACTCGGGAGGCAGAGGCCGGCGGATCTCTGTGAGTTCGAGGCCAGCCTGGGCTACAGAGTGAGTTCCAGGAAAGGCGCAAAGCTACACTGAGAAACCCTGTCTCGAAAAACCAAAAAAAAAAAAAAAATAGTTTTGCTGTTGCTCAAAAAGAGAAGACTAATTTTAGTAAAAATACACATAAGTTTTAAGCAATCAAAGATAATATGACTGAGGCTGGAGAGATGGCTCAGCAGTTAAGAGCACTCACTGTACTCAGAAGATCCACATTCAGTTCCCAGCATCCATATGGCAACTCACAACCACCTGTAACAAGTTCCCAGGGATCCAATGTCCTCTCCAAGCCTCCCTGGGCACCAGACAGGCATGTGATACATATATGTACATGAATGCAAAAACACTCATATACATAAAATAAAAATAAATCTTTGTTTATAAAAGAAATATGATTGTGTCTGCCTTATTCCAGCCCCAGACAGTTTCTGATTTGATCAGAAACATATTGTAGCATGTGTTCACATATCACACTGTACCCCATAAAGATGTACAATTATTGTATATTAGTATGACCTTGAAAAAAGTATTGAAGGAGATGTCACTACCCTGTTTTCATTGTTTAACACTTTATATGTATATTGAATTATCACACTGTACATGTAAATATGTATAATTAAAATAAATTTTGAAAACTATAACTTTACTTAAAGTAACATTTCAGAAAAGACAGAGTAATGGTTCATAAAGATAGTCTCAAACTCTAGAAATGGTCTTAATATCAATGAGTACAGCTAGGAAGGTAGCCCAGATGGCCGAGTGCTTGCTTTCTTACCATGAAGAACACTCTGGATTTAATAAGCCCCAGTACTACATGAATCAAGTGTGGTGGCACATGACTATAATATCAGCATTCAGAAAATGGAGGCATGGAGATCAGAAGTTCAAGGTCCCCACAGCTACAAAGGAGTTTGAGGCCAGCTTGAGCTATATGGGACTCTGACTCCAAAAATAATTTATTCTAACTAATTTATGAATGAATGAAAGCACATTATTAGGTCCCACAGAGCCATGGGTGTTCAGAAGCAGTGCATCAAATGGTTGCAAGGCCCTTCCTTCATTCATGCTCTTGGGTAATACCACTGGTAATGAATCCCTCTATCCAAATTTGGAGTTCAAGAGCGGAGTTTTCAAACACAAATACGCTAATGTAGCTAACTCTTGACAAGTAAGACTAACAACCTTTAGAAAGGAGATTGAAGTCCCTGGGCTAAATTAAGTTTAGGAACTAACTACAAGTTTTAATTGATGATATTCAGCCTTACCATAATAAGATGTCATTGAAACTTCATTATATAGTACATGGGACTAATAACAGCTATGTAACCAAGCTCTTCATAACTTTCTCCTTTCGTGTTGCCCAGAGTTGTGGGAAATCCCTTATTTTGTGGTTCCAAAATAACACTAATGTACCAACTCTGGGGATTAGGGAGGTGACTCATGGTCAAGAGCACTTGCTGCTCTTACAGAGGACCCAGATTTAGTTCCTAGCACCTACACAGTGGCTTTCAAGCAGGAAAGTGCCAGACACATTTGTGGTGCTCATCCATCCATGCAGGAAAATTACTAAAACACATTTTTAAAAAATCAACTATGAGATTGCAGAATTTAAGTCACAAACTACTTAGGCAAGGCTAAGCTAATGTGTAACACAGAATCTTCTTAAGCTCTGCCACAGGTCAAAAATATCTAGAAAATTACCTTCCAGTACTGGCATCCCATACTACAACTGTGTGATCAAAGGACCCTGTGATAATTCTGTCTCCTGAGGTGTCAAATGACAAGGAAATGATTTCTGCCAAATGACCCTGGAAAAAGAACAGATACAGTCATATACATGTGTAGATAAGAGCACTCAGTTAAGAGTATGTGTAGATAAGAGTACAGCATCATCCAAAAGATGGGAGAGAAGAGAAATGTATGGGGAGACACAGGTAATCTGACTAGGCTGGGCTTGGCTGGGCTGGGCTGGGTGGGGCTGGGGTAGGAAGGGCTGTGCATGTGTACAGCTTTCTCTGCAGGGTGGCAAGGAGGTTGAGAGATCAGAATTTGGTGATGTGCACAGTAAATCATCAAAGTTCATTGTCTTGCACACTTCAAGTAGGTTCATTGCAGGACAATGAAAATGTTGTAGTGCAGGAACTGGGTTATTTTAAAAATAAAAGAATGTGCTTGGAGAAACTAGAAAGGGTCTTTCCCATTGTCCTGGGAAGACTAGAAGGGCTGTCTTTGGGTAGTCATGAGAATAATGAATGTGGGGGGGAAGCAGTAGACAGGATAATCTAGTAACTTTAAAAAGGAAGAAACTTCTATGGTAGTGTGATGGGAACTGGTCGATGATAGGCAGCTGCCCATGACCTGACTTTCCTTCCTCACAGGCTAGAGCTGAGGAGCCCACGGTATGAGACCCTATGAAGAAGTTCCTCCTGCAGCAAATTCTGAGAATCTGGAAAGAGGATCTTGTTTGCGATATGAGCATCATTTTCCCAATTATTTCAGTAAATAAATACGATTAAATACCTTTATTTCTATTCACTTTGTTTCGTTTTTGCTTCTGCACTATATCCTTGAACACACAATCCTCTTGTCTTAACCTCTGAACGGCTAGGATTACTACCACCACCACCCCCTCCCGTGTGTGTGTGTGTGTGTGTGTGTGTGTGTGTGTGTGTGTGTGTGTGTGTCTGTCTGTCTGTCTGTCTGTCTGTCTGTCTGTGATGTATGTATATGTGCATGTTTGTGGGTGCACTTGCCTGTGGAGGCATTCGTGGAGGCCAGAGGTCAACTTCATGTATCTTTCTCCCTCACTATTCACTTTAGTATTTTTGAGACTGAGTCTCTCACTAGACCTAGAGCTGACTGTTAGACTGGGCTGGCTGGCCAGGACCCATCTGTTTCTACCATCCCAGGCACTGGGGATACATGTCTGTGTCACCACACCTGACTTATATATGAATACAAGGAATCTGAACTCAGTGTCTCACGCTTACTCAGAGGGATTTACCCACTGAGATACTTTCTCAGCCCTTGAGTATATTTGTGGATAAAAGAATAGTTTAAAATCTCATTTACAGATTGACTGACTGACAAGATGAAACACAGCTGAGCATCTGAATTTGGGGCATGCACACAGGTTCCTTTCCACCAGCAGATGGGTATGCAGGCACACGTGCATAGCAGGCCTCGGTGTGCCAAACACGCCCAGCAGAGTCAGGAGTAGGAAAATATACTGAAACCACAGACATCAACTAAAACAAAGTTTTCCTGAAAGAAAATGCAATCAAGAAACTCTGTCCCATGCTGGTGTTAATAATGCTAGGTCTTCAGATTTAAAAAAGAAAAGCTATTGGAATAACTTCTTAAATGATGATTTTTTTCCCTCTTGTTTTAGTGTACTTTTAATTTTCTTAGAGAAAGTATCCTGTTTGTGTTTGTCTGGTTTGTTTTGAAAATTCACTTACACTTGTAAAAGAACAAGGAAACCAGGACCACCATCTGATGGTTCCTACTCATTATAATAGGGAGCTACTTTTATTTCACTTGTGGACACTTGAGAAGGGTGGGACGAAGTGTAGGACGGCAGGTCCTGGGAAGGTGTCAAACATGGGGCGGTGACAGGCAAGACAGAAAACCATAGGCATCCCATCTGTGGGTCATGCCCTTTGCTCTTTCTGCTTCCACCCAGTCCCTTGTCTTTCTGTATAACTCAGAATAATTTGAAGCTAGACATGAAAGGAGAGGGAGAGCGTGAACCACAATCTTGAAAAGAATCTTCTGGTGTGGTTCTTCAGTGGTGCATCTTCCAAACAGGAACAGCCCCTACCCATTCCCTTTCAGTCAGATAGACAAGGGATGCTAAGATTATGTGATTTACATAATAAAAAACAAAAGCTATGTTGGATTCTCTACCTTTTATGTGAGTCTGACCCAATAGTCAAAAAACCAACTGTAGGGTCTCTCACAGTTTAAACACCAGTGGCTCAAAAACTTCTAACATATCCTTCACTTCATAACAAAATACAACTAATAATCAACACAGATGACAGGCTTATTAACAATATGGACCTACTGTTAGAGTGACCACTTCCTCTCCATTCTGAATGTCCCATATTTTGGCCGTGGTATCCATACTTCCAGTAGCAACCACTGTACTTTGTGGGTTGAATGATAAACACACCTACAACAAATGAAATGGGGGGAACTTTAGACACATGATGTTTCAGACTCTTAATAATGCATTGAAACTCTTGCAATTACCTTAGCAGATGTCGGCTTAATGGTTTGTGTAAGAACACACCAAGCCATCAGGGTGGGAAACTTGTTGGCTCCAGGTAGAATCCTGAGCAGTCTCCTGCTAAAGAGAGGCCTTGTTCCTCTCCTGTCACCTGCTCTGTCACAGATTCCCTTTACAGCTTCCAGAACACAGAACAATGAGAGCCAAAGCATAGCCCATCTCCTGTGAGTTTCATGCTAGGGGCTCTCGGTGTCTTTGCAGCTGTGATCACAGTCCTACTGAGAATGCTCTTCAGTGATTAACTGTGACTTCTGGCTCACGTTGTCAATTCCATGTCCTGGATGGCCTTTCTGCAGGCAGGCAGGCTTTCTAGTACTCCCAGAGCCATGCCTTTGGTCTTCCCGTTAGCAACTGTGCCTATGACTGTAACTTCACCACCAGCTAGTCCGTCTCTGGTTACAATTCCCGAAAACTTTCAGCTTTCTTCCTCACTTGCCATCCCATCCTCGTCCCAGGAAACCTTCCGTGTCCTTGAGACCTCTGCCTTGTCTCCTGGTCTGTCATTACCATTTAGCTGACGGCACTGGGAGCATCACTGCCTTGGGCATACTCAGCCTACACATTCAACAGGGTTCACAGAAGTTATCTTACAGCTCCTGTGATAACCTCAGCAACCCTCATGGAGTCATTTCTCTAACGATAAGCAAATGAAAACCAGAGAAGAGGTCTTCTCGTCACACTTAGATGCCAATCACGTCACATGGCTGCTTATAGTCATTGCAGGCTACCCTAAACATATCTGTGAATGATTAAATCTTAAGTGGTGGAAATTTACATGGACAATCCACGCAGGCTAAAAATACTGGGTCAAGGTTTGAAAACTCAATATAAAAATAACCTTCACTCTCACTATGGAGTCCTAAAAGGAAGGGGAAGAGGAACGCAAAGGAGTCTTCAGAATGTCAACTGTACTCACGATCTCTGCCGTGTGGCCCCTGAAGGTGTGGTAACACTTTCCCGACTCTGCACTCCAGAGTTTACAGGTCTTGTCAAAGGACCCAGTGGCAATTTTGTCACTGCGAATTTTAAAGTTCTGGATTTTAGAAACAAATTCGGCCACATTGCACGACACCCTGAACTGAGGCTAGACAGGCTGACATGTGGCTATCGTCCTACTTGGGCATACACTGCACTGTTAAAATAAGAAGCAGTTTCCTGCTTGCTCCGGTGAATAACAAAGTCAAGGTCTGATTTCTAAAGGTATCAACTCATATGCCTGGATGTCAAAGACATCTCATTAAAGGGATGAATATATTTTTGTAATTAAACAATTAACATAATAACAATGTAACTTCAGAAAAGAGAGAGAGAACTAGGCCTGCCCCACACCAGCTACACAGGTGAGCGGTCTCTGCGGCCCATCTGGGCAGCACACTAGAGCAGAACCTGTTGGTGGTGGCACAGGTGAGCCAGCCCAGAGGGCGTGAGAGGAGGAGAGCTGACCCTGTCCCCCCTTGTATGCCCCCTACAGCAATCGGGAGAGAGGGAAAAACAGCAGAGCTGGACCTAGCAATATGAGCGAGGGGGACCTAGACCTGAGGGCCTGAGAGCAGGAGAGCTGGCTCCCCTCCTTGCTGCAGGCTTCATTGGGTGAGCTGACTGAGGCAATGCTGGAGCTCACCAGGGCAGTGGCGACGAGGGAAAGCTAGAGAGCTGACCGACCCAGCTACCACTTAGGCCCAGAACAAGGGCTATGAGTTGGCCTACCCCAACATCCACCAAATCTATGGACTGTTGGAGCATGTGAAGGGGATGAGCCTACAGATCCAAAACAGCAGGACCTCCATAACACAGGACAACAACAGGATATCCAAGAGGAGCCCCAGTGAGAGCCCATTATTGGTGGTGTAGTAAAAACCAGAGGCCTTGAGCCAGACCAATGACTCATGGCAATGAATACTTACAAGTAAAGATGAATAGACTAAAGAGTAAACTGTGTGTCTCAATGAGCCACACTACAGCTTCCATGACAAGATTCTTCTTCTGTTTTTTGTTTTTGTTTTGTTTCTTTATTTTGTTTGGTTTTGAGTTTTTCTTCTAAATTTAGTTTTGATTTGCAGGGGAGGGAGATAAATGGACTCTGAATACATGATGTGAAATCCACAAAGAACCAATAAAAGTATATAAAGGAAAAATTAGCTATATGAATTTCAATAATATGTAATCTTAGCTGTAGCTAGAGTTTTCCTGCCTGGCCCACAGTCAGGACAAATCTCTCTCACCTGCCAGTCCCACAGCTGCTCAGACCCAACCAAGTAAACACAGAGACTTATATTGGTTACAAACTGTATGGCCGTGGCAGGCTTCTTGCTAACTGTTCTTATAGCTTAAATTAATCCATTTCCATTAATCTATACCTTGCCACATGGCTTGTGGCTTACCAGCATCTTCACATGCTGTTTCTCATCATGGCGGCTGGCAGTGTCTCTCTGACTCAGTCTTCCACTTCCCAGCTTTATTCTCCTCCTTGTCCCGCCTACACTTCCTGCCTAGCCAATGGCCAATCAGTGTCTTATTTATTGACTAATCAGCAACACATTTGCCATACAGAACATCCCACAGCACTTAGCTATATGGACATAGAAAAAACTCTTTTACAGGTATACAGAAGGGAAACACTAAATTTTAAAGGGAGAAAGTCACAGAGATAAGTCTAGGAAAGCACATGGTTGATAAGATCTTGAGAAGTTCGACTTCAGTGATTCCTTGAGAAAATAATACCAAATTATTCCTATTGCAGAGGCATTTACAGAGGATAGACTCAAAGACTAGGATACTGTGGGCAGAAGAGGTAGTTCCATTGGTCGACTTCTTGCTTCACAAGCATGAAGTCCTGAGTTCAAGGCCCAGAACCCACATGAGAAAACCACATATTGGAGCAGGAAAGACAGCGCAAGAGTTAACAGTCTGCACTGTTCTTGAAGAGGACCTGAGTTTGGTTCCCAGCACCAGCATCAAGTGGCTCATAATTGCCTACACTCCAGTTCTAGGAGATCCAGTGCCCTCTCTGGTCTCCACAGGCACTGTATTCACATGCATACACTTACACACACACACACACACACACACACACACACACACACACACACAAGACTTGGGTCCTTTTCAAACAAAAGGCTGTGTTGACTTTAGGACAGGGATATTGTCCTTACTCAAAGGGCATAAATAGATTAGCCTCATTGTCCTTACATTTTAGCACTGAAATCTTTCATTTCACCCACAATCCATATTTATTTACCCTTTTCAGAAAGTCTTGTCCACCTGGTGGGATTATTTGTTGCAGTGGTTTGGTTTGATTGGGGTGGGGTTTGCCTCAGACAGGGTCTCATTACATAGTCCAGACTGGCCTCACTCCAAAGATTCTCTTGTCTTCGCCTCTTGACTGACTACAGATGTGCACCTTCATATCTGGCATTTTATTTTATTTTATTGAATCTAAGTGTCTGGAGAGATAATTCAGTGGTTAAAAATCACTGGCTGTTCTTCCAGAGGCCCTGAGTTCAATTCCCAGCAACCACATGGAGGCTCACAACCATCTATAATGAGATCTGGTGTCCTCTTCTGGCATGTAGGCATATATGCAGGCAGAACATTGTATAATAATAAATAAATAAAATCTTTAAAAAAAAGAATCTAAAATACTTGTTTTCTTTTGTTTCTATGGTGTTTTCATTTTTCTTTTCCAAACCCAGGCTCTTGCCTATGCTGGACAAGTGTTCTACCACTGAACTATATCCTCAGTCCCTACATTATCATTACATATTATCTTGCTGAAGGTTCATTTTTTTCAGAAGCGTAAGGACTGGGCCATAAGGTCCAAGTCACATATACTAAAGAAAGTTATAAATGCCCAGGGCAGGCATGGAACTTACATTTGTTCAGACAACACCGATGTCTTGCCTTTTTACTCTGGTCCCAGGCTACCTGCTCAGTGTACCTGCAATCGCTCTTGACTAAAGGAAGCAAGGACTTTCTGTGGATGCTCCAGGGTAGCTCATCCTGGTGAACACCCACAGAATGCCCAAAAGCTTCCTGACACTCTAGGCTGGTCAAGCTCCAGAGTCTCAAAAGAGCTCCTCCTGTGACGTGGTGATTTGAAACAAAATGGCCACCAAAGGAAGTGCCACTATTAGAGGTGTATCCTTGCGGGGTGTGGTCTTGTTTGAGGAAGTGAGGCATTATGGAGGTGGGCTTGGAAGTCTCACATATGCTCAAGATACCACCCAGTGTTTTAGACCACTTCCTGTTGTCTGCCTCCATGCTGCCATGTCCCACCAGGATGAAAATGAACTGAACTTGTGAAACCGTAAGCCACCACCTCAATTAAACATTTTCCTTTATAAGGACAGGGGAATCTGTGGCTGATATGTAAAATTAAATTAATTATAAAATAAAAATATTTAAAAATAAAAATTAAAAAAAAATGTCTAGTCTAAGTGCAAACAGTCTTGCAGACTCCATTGTCTCCCTCTGCAGCTCTGTCAAAGAAGGCGCCAAGCATTGTGAGGGCTGATCCCCTGCCTCCTCACATGTCCCTTTGACCCTTCAGTCTGCCAGAACAATCTTTGTCAAAAGCACTTTTTACTGTTCCATTCCTGTGTTCACAAGCCTCTGTGAGCAGTCTGGCCCAGCAGGGTAAAGTGTGCCTTCACAGCACATGCTGACCTCAGCCTTGCATTCCTCTTTGGGAAACAGTCCCTTCAGAGACAGACTGGCACGCTGGGCTGCTGGTGAATCGCCAATGTGAAAGCCCAAGCTGCTACCCGCCCCTCCCCCTGGTATAGTCACCAGGCCTCCACCTTCAGGGTTCAGCTTTATGTGAGTCACCTTAAGACACCCAAACCAGGAGGCATCTCCTTGGTTTCCTCCTCTTAGCCTTTTAACCATTTACTATTTTGTTCTTGTCGTGACGGTGAGATCGTAAAGAAATCAGATTCCTCAAACCATTTTCACTAATGGAAAAAGTCATTGTAAGGGATCCACTGTGAAAGAAAAGTCCGATTTTTGAAATTTTACTCAAATGTATACACCCATGTGGCACCCTTATGACGGAAAACCAAGGTCTCTGAATTCACTTAACTGGCTCAGGGTCAGCAAATTGATCACCTGGGTTACTGAAATCTGACTGAATCCCCACAATTCCCAACTTTGTTTTTTTTTTCAAATGGGATGAGAAGGAGCTTGAGAGATGGTTCAGGGAGTAAAGGTACCTGCTGCCCGACCTGAGATGAGATTCATCTCTTGGTCCCTATGTGGTAAAAGAAGAGAAATTAAATATCCTCTGGCCACCACAGACGCACTTTGGCATCTGGGTGTGTGTGTATCTATCTATATCTACATCTATATCTATATATCTACATCTATATATCTATACCTATTTCTATATCTATATCTTTATCTATATCTATCTATATAATTTTTATATATAAAATTTTAAAAATTGAACATACATTTTAAGATTTTAAATAGGATGAGAAATTTGAAGAATTTAAATACACAAGAAGGACAAATTCCATTGGCTCTTACTCAGAACTTCATTGGGAAGAACTTTCTCAAACATTTCTCTTACTGCTCTCATAGAAGACAGAAACTCTCTTTCTGTCTTTGCACCTCATTAGTTTAGGTAATTTTTTTTTGATTATTTTGATAACTTGTGCAATTAGATTCCAGAGTAATTTCCACAAGTATGGTTGAAAGCATAGGTTTGTGGACATACAATGACCTCTTGAGAAGACTAGACACTCACCACAGTAGAGTCAAACACAGTGACAGATAGGTAGCTTTGTGGCTACAAACACCCACAGTGGCATGGGCATCAGAAACATGGTTGAAAACAGAATGCTCTTAATGTGCTGAGTCAGCTGGTCAGAGGTTGGCCTGAAAGGGGGCACCATTGTTCTTGGCACTGTTTCTTAGCATATTACTATACACATATTTTTTTTCTGCCCCACAAGACTGAATATTCACTTAAAAGTAAAAGAAAGCATGTTATACAGTTGATGCATGTCACACTCTCCAGAGCCATGAGCACAGTGCTGTACATCAATAAGAGCCACTTCTCGGGAATTTCAAACTTCAGTTGACCCTCTACACGTGATCCTGGGAAGGGCACTTCAGCTTCCAACATTTTATAAAACTGATACCTATCCCAAAGGCAGTAAACATTAAAAGAGACTTGGAAAGGCTTCCATGGAACATGGCAGAAACTCAATAAATCTTAATCCTGTCTTCTTCCCTTGTCAAGCAGTAGGTGGCAGGATGAATACAGGAATGACGAAGGAGTGAGGGGATGGAATGAACATACCCGTAAGGATTGTTGAAGGCTATGGCATAAACCACGTTCCTGTGGCCCTCTAGCGTGTGCAGCTCCTCTCCAGATGCAGTGTCCCACACCTTGCATGTCCGATCATAGCTTCCTGTGATGAAGCTAGCACAGGGAATGGGAGCACATTGCATGGTAAAAATGACAGGTATTGCACTCATCGATACCTTGCTGGTTTTTTGTGTTTTTGTTTTTGTTTTCTCCCCACTGGATACTAACCCCTTTACACTTTTAATACTGGAAATCATACATTCAAAACAAAGAACAGTTTGCAAATCCTTTAACTTAAAATATCACTAAATAGAAAAGTAAACCTTCCAGCTCTAGTCCTATAATACATACTCTTATACAATTAAAGTGTGTGCTATAATGGCTTATACAACTTTTGCGAAACTGCACATACTTCATTGTGAGTAGGACTATGCTCCCGGTTGTTCAGATCATAACTTTTGACATTACCATTGGCCCTCTCTTCCCTACACTCTACACACCCCTGTCATTATATTCTACAATATCAAAATGTGTTTCTGTTTGAGAGTCATTTAGTCTGAGCTACTTTATGACAGCAATCTTAGCAGACGGATAAGACATATTTGCATGTCTGTGTAACAAAATGATCCTTTTATCTCATCTTTCCTAACCAGACCCTCAGGTCTCAAGCTGATCAAAGAATTTTCTGAACACAGCCTTGGTGATTCTAAGCATCATACATCAAAACAGAGCTAGGCCGGGCGGTGGTGGCGCACACCTTTAATCCCAGCACTCAGGAGGCAGAGCCAGGAGGATCTCTGTGAGTTCGAGGCCAGCCTGGGCTACCAAGTGAGTCCCAGGAAAGGTGCAAAGCTACACAGAGAAACCCTGTGTCGAAAAACAAAACAAAACAAAAAAAAAAAAAAAAAAAAAAAAAAAACAGAGCTAGACAGGAAAGGCCCACTATGAATGAATGCATGCCAATCAGCCACAGTGCTGTCCCTGATTGGCAGCTCCTACAGCCCAGGCAAAGATGCAGGTGCCCAGTGATGTGAGTCTTCTTGGTCTCAGCTGTAGTTCTCGGTGATACCTCTCACACAAAATTACACAAACACATAGAGAACCTGGGCTACAGCCATGGGGACAGTGCTTTCCTCCGTAGTCATCAGGGTCAGAAAATCCAGGAGATGGGCACATTCATTCTGTAACTAACTGAACTACTTGAGAACCCCTCGGGAATGTTCATCCTTTGCTTGCTACAAGTTAAAAAGAGCAAGGGGACCTTACCAGGAGCCTGCTTTGTTGAGCGCCACATTGGTCAACGGCAATATGTGTGCTCTGAGAACCTTCAATAGAAGGAAACACCGTTTATTGTGGACTCACACCAAATTAAATGTATCCATTTGCACTTCAAAAAATGGTGACATTCGATGTATTCTTAAACATATGTGGTAAATGGACAAGATCCAGTAGTCAACCAAACTAGTAATAAAACAGCAATGTGCCTCTGATAAAGACAAACTATACTCTCAATAGCCATAGATAATTATGAAAAGTAATTGACTCTTTACATCCCATCAATACCAATTTACTATTGAGATAAATTATGGCTACCAAAGAAGATTCCAAATGGCACTTTTTTGTGACATTGTCGTGTACATGCTACATATGGTTTCCTATGGATGGTTGAACAGTGTACATAAGAAAAAACCTTAAATGTGTTTCAAATACATTTTACAACGCATTGTTCTTTTTTTAATCCTAAAACTATCTTCAAGTTGGAATGCCTCATTTATCTTGAAATCCCTACATTATCTATCAGTTAGTGGGTGCTTAATGGATGTTCATTGACGAAATACAGTAATTGAATAACTTATAAGTTGAGGGGTTAGCGAGGGTGAGTCAGCTTCAGATATTTCTGCTTCCAGAGTACAACTACTAATAGCTTCCTTTTTTGGCTATCAAGTATGTTCCCTTACATGAGAACTCACAAGGGCAAGGTAGTTACACAGCTTATATTTGTAATTAAACAGTGCCACCTGCTGTAGAAAAAAAACCAAAGCATGCAAAGCCTTATTATCTGGGAACTTGAATGGAGGAGAACCAAGGAGAACCTGGACATTTATATCAGGTAGAACCAATGAACACAAAATAAAAAGAATGTCTGTTATAATAATAATACTTCAAAACATAAAGTCAGTGTATCATGAAGCAATCTTAGAACAAATTTTTTCATTTAATTTAAAAAGCTGTTCTTAATTACACAGATACAATTGTTATATTTCTAATTTAGTCAGAAACTTACAAAGAGAAAAGCATATTTATACTACATTTAGTTAATAATTCACTAGCTCGTAGTTTAGTTCATGATGAGGCTGAAAATAGGAAATGTTGATATGTCATGAAATACAACTTCTTCAAGTACTGTAACTAGAAAATAATCTTAGTAATTCAATTAAAAAGGGAAATAAATTTACTGCAAATCCTTATTGAGCATCTCAAGAAGTTAGCATTGTGAACTTCATTCATTCTTTCAACAAATACCGCTTGTAGGTTAATCTTGGCCAAATGCAGGCAGAATACTAAAACCACAAGCAAGTACTTTACTAGAAAAAAAAAAAAAAACAGTTGAGTGGTGGTGGTGCACACTTTTAATCCCTGCACTCGGCAGTCAGGGACAGGTGGATCTCCGTGAGTTCAAGACTAGCCTGGTCTATGGAGAGAGTTCCAGGACAGGCAGGACTGTTTCACAGAGAAACCACTTCTTGAAAAAAAAAAGAAAGAAAGAAGAGAAGGAAGGAAGGAAGGAAGGAAGGAAGGAAGGAAGGAAGGGAGGAAGGGAGAGAGGGAAGAAGGAAAGAGAAAGAGAGAGAGAGAGAGAAAGAAAGAAAGAAAGAAAGAGAGAGAGGGAGGGAGGGAGGGAGATAGGGAGGGAGGGAGGAAGGAAGGAAGGAAGAAAGGAAGGAAGAAAGGAAGGAAGAAAGGAAGGAAGAAAGGAAGGAAGAAAGGAAGGAAGAAAGGAAGGAAGAAACTAAATGTGTTTTAAGGAAAGATCTCACTTGTAAGAGAAATCACTTGTAAGAGAAATCAATAACACACCCAAGTTGTCCTTCCTAGTGTCCCTACGCATGAATTTATCAGGTAGAAGCCATGGTCCTGGTGTCCCTAAGCACTACTTACCTTGAACAGGTAGAAGTTGTGGTCACAATGCTGCCTGAGTTTCTCCTGTAGCCGCTGGACCAGGAGTCTGACTTGCTGTGTTCGAGACACCGTGATCAGAGGCTCCACTTTCTGGATTTCTTCTACTAAGGTGTTGACATCGGTACTGAAATTCACCCCAAAGCACTTGCATGTCAAATGTGCATCTATGCTCACAACATGAAGAAATCCATCATTTTGAGCAGGGGTGGGTAAAGGTGCATACTACACCAGCATGAAGACCTAAGTTTGAATTCCCAAAAGTTAGATGCACAGTACAAGTGCAAGTAACCACTGTGCTCCTCTGGGGAGGTGGAGGCAGAACCAGAAGACTCTTATTTTCTGGTAGAAAAAAAGTTCAAGACCAAAGCTTATGACTTCTTAGAATGGTATATTACTGTTCCATGTTACATGCTGGCTCTGCTTGTGCAAGTGGAGACTTGCATGGGGCTTCCTACACAGTGAATCTTGGGTACTCTAACCTGTGGAGAATTCCTCCAGGCTCACATGGGGTTTCAGTGGGAGACCTCTGGTCTTAAACCTCTGCCCACTCTCTGACAGTCCATCAGCCTTATGAAATACTTCTTTACTGAGGAAGCATCAGGCTCAATTGTGTCTTTTAAACTCAATAACCAGTACTCCTCAGAAGTGTTAAGGCTACCAACAAAAAAGAAAGTCCAAGAAACCAGTACAGCCAAGAAGAACTTAGGGAGACAGGAAGACTAGATGACCCATGGACTCCTGGCTAGAGTCCTGGAACACAGAAGGGAAAAGGGGTAAACCTCAGAGAGTTTGTGTACAGTTTGGACCTGGATTGATGATAATGTATCAATACTAGTATGGTGACTGTGACAATTCTACCAAGCCAACCTAAGACACTAAATAGGGAAAGCTGGCCACTCTGTCTTAAATCATTTTCTAAAGCTGTTCTAGACTAACCAGTTCATATTTTAAAATAGTCCTCCTCAGAAAAAGAAAAGAAATGGCAGAGTGAGGGCCTTGTAGCTGGAAGGTTTCCTCTGTCCTGCCCAGTCTGGCAGCCACTCAGACCCAAGTAAACACACAGAGGCTTATAGCAATTATAAATTGCATGGCCATGGCCTATGGCTCAATTTTCTTGCTAACTCTTATAACTAAACTCAGCCTATTTCTATCTATCTATATGCCACCACATGTTCTGTGGCTTTACCTGTATGCCTTTACATGCTGCTCCCTGGATGGCAGGATAGCATCTCTCCTGCCTCTCCTTTCTCTTCCTGTCTATCCTCAATTTCTGGTCCACCTATAACCTGCCTTGCCATAGGCCAAATGGCTTTACTTATCAACCAATCAGAGCAACACATATTCACAGAGTACAGAAAGACATCCCACAGCACTTCCCCTTTTCTGTCTAATCAAAAAGGAAGGTTTTAACTTTAACATAGTAAGATTATATATAATAGAACAGTTATCAAGTAAGAATTACACTTACAATGTCTAGTCTATTTGTATTTGGCAAAATTAAAGAAAATATTCTATCATCTATCCTATATTTGTGAGTTTAAGTCTCATATTTAATTTATCTTTTATAATAAGCAAGGAAAATTATAATTATAACTCTCTAGTCTTCAACTACATCAAAGACCCCAGAAGGATATAATATTACCTAAGTAAACAGGAAGTGCATTGTATGCAACTTCCAAAAATCTAGAATGACAGGGATTACCTAAGTAAACAGGAAGTGCATTGTACGCAACTTCCAAAAATCTAGAATGACAGGGATATCTGGCTGCCTGGACAGTCACCCAAAGTTCCTCTGCAACTTTGGGGCATCCATCTTCAGCCTATAGGCTTGGAATCTCTCAGTCGCTTCTCTCTGCATCATGTAGAATGTCTAGCAGTCTTCTCTGCAAAGCAGGAAACTAAAGGACCATTTCACCTTGTTGTGGCAAATTCAGTGGTCATTTTCTTACAGGTCCTGTGTGTCCAATTTACACAACATACTATCAGCAGTTCAGGCAAGAGCAGTTTCTTGCCCAAATGGCTATTTTTGCCAAGAAGAATATAAACTCTATATGGAATGTCTTCGATGCCCATCTTCCTTTTTGAAGTAAATTGGTGTTGCCAGGAGCAGACATGTCTCACTGTCCAGAAAGTCTAAGTTTTTAAAACATTTTAAATGCCACATTCTGTAGGTCTTTAAAGTGTTTGAAGATTACCTACCTAATTGAAATATATTTATGTATACCTAGAAAACTTAACTAACATGACTATAAGTGTGATTATCATAGATGACTAATTATTAATCTGTATTTCTTAATTATGCATTATAATTTCAAATCAGCTGTACAAACATGATACCTTAAACAAGAGTAGAAATATACATACAGTATAAAATATTTTAAGCAAGTTGTTGCTCTTTTAAAGTAGATTCAATAATCTACCCTTTTATTCTATCATATCTATATCCTCTATTTCTATATCATATCCTTCTTTTTTTCTTTCAGAAAGAGATTGACTATGACCACTAACAATTTGTAACCAGCCCCTTAAAAAAAGACAAACATTCATAATCCATTTTTTGAGAATGTGGGCTTGTGTTCTAGGCTACTTTGTGCTGATGGGGGTGCTGGTAGTCTTATGGGGATCCTGAGAAAATTGGAGATAATGTGCAAGTCCTGGGAAGACCAGCTATAACCTTTGTTGATAGGTGACCACTGAATTTTGCAAGGTGAAATGGTTCTTCAGGTTCCTGCTTCACAGAGGAGACTGCCAAATATTCTACAGGACACAGGAAGAAGTGACTAAAAAACTCCAGGCCTATTGGCTGAAGGTGGATGCCCCAACATTACAGAGGAACTTTGGATGACTGTCCAGGCAAGCAACTGTCTCTGTCATTTTCAGAATTTTTGGAAGTTGCTTACAATGTTCTTCCTGTTTACATAGGTAATATTATATCCTTCTGGGGTCTTTGATATAGATGAAGACTAAATAGTTATAATTATAGCTTTCCTTAGTCATGATAAAAGTTAAATTAGATATAAAACCTTAGACTCACAAATATAGGATAGATGATAAAAATATTTTCTTTAATTATGCCAAATATAAATAGACTAGATATTGTAACTGTCATTCTTGCTTGATAACTGTTTGTTATGTGTAATTTTACTATGTCAAAGTTAAAACCTTCTTTTTGATTAGACAGAAAAGGGGAAGTGCTGTGGGATGTCTTTCTGTACTCTGTGAATATGTGTTGTTCTGATTAGTTGATAAATAAAGCCGTTTGGCCTATGGCAAGTCAGGCTACAGCTAGGTGGGAAATTGAAGAGAGAGAGAGAGAGGAAGCAGAAAGACAGAGGGGAGAGAGACACCAGAACTGCCAGGAGAAGCAAGATGTGAAAACACCGGTAAGCCACGGCCACATGGCAACTTATAGATTAGTAGAAATGGGTTAAGTTATAGGAGCGAGCTAGCAAGAAGCTTGAGCCACTAGGCTATACAGTTTATAAGTAACATAATCCTCTGTGTGCTTATTTGGACCAAGCAGCTGCGGGACACGAGTAGGAGAGATTCATCAGGGCCCAGGCAGGACCGGAGAAACTTCCAGCTACATGGCCTTAATGTCTCTAATACTAGTTACTCAGCCCAGCCATGCGCACATCCTCATTGAGGTGTTCGTCTAAAAGGTTCTGATATGAAGTACATGCTACATTACATGGCTAACTTACCTTGGACTGAGCTCAAGCAAATCTATGGATTTGGTCTTTAATTCTCCACCTTTTTCGTATTCCAGCATAATTCCTGTAAGAAAACACAAGCGTGATACAGAGTACTTAAGAAAGGCGAGGAAAAGGTTTATGCACTGTGAGTTCTTTTTTTTAAAAACTATTACTTTTCAGATTTTTAATTGTTTTATGTCTGTGTTTGTGTGTGGCATATGCACAAGTTCATGTGGCTAAAGAGGATGTGCACATACTGCTGTGAGCACATGTGTAGAAGCCAGAGGTCAATGTCATGCATATTCATCTACCATTCTCCACTCTCTCAAGCTCATCAGTTTGGCTAGGCTAGCTTGCCAGTGAGCATCTGGGGTTTGCCAGTATCTGCCTCCCAAGTGCTAGGATGCCTTAGATCTGAAATCTGGTCCACAATCTTGCGGGGTACTGTCGTTTGAATATGAACTCACCCCCATCAGCTTACAGATCCACAGCCAGTGGTGCTTTTTAGAAAGGTCATGGAACCTTTAGGAGGTAAAGCCTCCTTGGCGGAAGTGGGTCACTGTGGAGCAGGGGAGGTTATAGCCACACCCCATTTCCTGTTCATGCTCAGCTTCGTGAGGGTAGATGAAATGTGACCAGGCCACAGAACAGCCACAGTGGAAACCCTGAGCTATCCTTGTCCTAACACCTAGGTGTACTTGGCCCTGGCAGGTAGAAGCAGCACAGTAGAGTTCCGGACGTCCTTAGCCCGTGCCCCACAACATGCCTCGTGCTGGTGGAAGAGGGACATAGCAGCAGCTAGGACCTCCTGCGCTTTTCTCCAAGGCTGATCACTGGAGGACAGCCCATCCCACCCATCCTAAAAGGAGAAACAGTAAAGTCCTGGTGTGCCAAACCTGTCCACAACTGCACCCTGAAGCAATGCTAGAGACGCCTCGTGTCTCCTTGTCCTCCAGCCAAGGACATCACCAGTCGGGTGGGGTGACCCAGGAGGTCACTCACAACCTGCAGAGAAGTACTTTCATGCCCCTCACTGAAGTCACAGAAGACCAGAAACACAAAGCAGAGCACAGTAATATTCTTGGGGATCAGGAAAGCAAACTGTCGTTGGCACTAAAGCCCACAGAAAGGGACCACACCTGTTTATTAAATGTAACAAGCAAACGCTCTAGAAAGAATCTTAACAATAACCTCATGGTGCTAAAACCAGGAAGAGACAGTCAACATCAACAAACGCCAATATCCATAAAAAACACACACACACACACACACACCCCTCATACTGATAACCAGCAAAGACCAATAACAAACACCAATGCTGAGATGAATGAGACTTTTTAATAACCTGGTATACACATTAACGAAAGTATCAATAAAAAGTGTCTCAGCATGGGCTGGAAAGATGGATCGGCAGTTAAGCATGCATACTGTTTTTGCAGAGGAGCCCAGTTCTGTTCCCAGCACCTCCAACTACCTGTAACTCCAGCTTCAGAGGAATCAGACTCCACAGACATCTGGAACTCACATGCATATGCTCACATACAGACACATACACATAATTAAAAATAAAAATAAAGTCTTAACAATAATAAATGTTTCAACAGACTCACGGCAGCTTATTTGCTGGCATAAGACCTATACAAGGTGGAACCAGGCAGCATTCTAGCACTGAGAGGGAAAATGAGCTCACAAGTCCCTATCCCTAGCTGAGGAGCTGATGAACGTTGGAGAGGGAGAGTCAGTCTTATTTAACAGTGTGGTCCCTGGTAGGTAAACCACGTCCCAGGGGATAGCCCCACACTCAGGAGTGTATGAACAGACATGATGTTGAGGAGTGGGTTGATCTAAGAGCAGTTGGAGGAGGAGGGGAAAAAGAATATTGTTAAAATGCATTATACACATGCATGAAATCTTCAAAGAATTAATAAAAATACATGTTTTAATACTTCAACAACCACAAATCCACTTGCAATATTTTTTAAGAATGGAAAAAAAATCTCTGGCAATAAACAGAATCAAATGAAAGTTTAAAAAAAAATGGAAAGAGCAATAACTTGCAGAAGCTATCTTAGTGGATTGGCTCCATCCTAAAGATGACTAGAGGCATGATGTGTGTCTCTGAAGACTGATATATGAAATATACTCAACCCACACAGCAGAGAGAAAAGAGACGAGAGCGAAGAACTGATCACATCCTAATCACACGCACTGCCTGCCTCATTGTACTTCCTCTGGATGCCGCAACACCTCCAAACTCAAGCGTGGGCCACAAGAGTGTCTGAAACTTTTCAGACATCTTGGGACAACAAACATGCTTTCATTGTGTAATGGTTGCCATGTTGAAGCTGAGAACTTTTAAGCATTTACTAAGGGGTTTTATAACAGATTCATAACATGCTAACATAACAGTATACTGTTTAAAAAACAGCCATGTGTTTCCCAAAGAAAACCATCAGAACAATGGCACAGTAGTTTGACATGCATCTTTAATACCCAGCCTAACTGAAGCCAGCTGTTCCCTCATTCCCATTTCTGCATTGAAACTCTTGCCATATATATGCTGTTTTGGATGAATTAGAAGGGAAAAATAGTCATATGCACATATGTAACAAGTAATAGCTTTTCCAAACGATGCTGGTTCTTCATTAATAGGATATTAAAACTTAACAATTAAAAGTTCTTTCAACTATCAAGTGACAGATGTAGTATAGAACTACAACCACTTCTGTGAGTTCTGTGATATCCAGATATACTAAAATCCAGACTTTCCGTGGATTTTTATCCAAGCATAACTGAGAAACACTCTCTTTGAATCATGTGTAGCTTCTGGCATTCACAGACTCTATCACGCAGCTTCCAGTGACCACGCAGCACCTCCATTCTGTCATCAAAAAACTCTTACTGATGGCAAACCATCATGATCATGTGGTGGGTACGAGTTTTCTGAACTTCTTGTTTTCTTTGAAAGCTCAAATTTTATCACTGGCAAGAAATCCTGCGGCTTTCAGTTGAAACCTTGTCTCCCAAGTGGCCCAAATCTGAAAAGTGTCAGTTTTCTGTCCATCTGTCAAGTGAAAATGATCTTCAAGGGGTAGGAGTTGAGTGGTGGAGGGAACACCTCATTCTACAACTCACACAACTGCAGATATTTTTCTTAAGGACCACCATGATGCTCACTAAACACATGAAATGATATGTGGTTGGACATGTGTCCTCAGATTGCTTATTTAGATTGTGTTCCCTGCCTTTGTACCCATGACCCTTCAGAGGTAGCCAGTTCTGGAGTTCACATTCCCTTCTACCTCCAATTTATCTTCCTTAGGCTTTTCTGAATGTGCTCCTTCTTTCTCCTCCAATGACTTTGTTTCTTTTAACCTGAATATATGGCCAAGTTCTCTTCTCACTTTATCTATCTATATGTCCCTCTAGCTGCCTATCTATCTATCTATCTATCTATCTATCTATCTATCTGTCTGTCTGTCTGTCTGTCTGTCTGTCTATCTATCTACCTACCTATCTATCTATCTATCTATCTATCTATCTATCTATCTATCTATCTATCTATCTAGGTAAAACTATCTATCTAACTACTATCTTACATTGGAGCTCATAGCTTTGCCATCAATATGCTAACCATTAATTATCATTATAAAAACTAATTATAGCTCCCCACTATAGGCTTCTTGAGTTCCAGACATGTCAGTGATCTGCCCTCACATTAAACAAGCAAGGCTCTTCTCCTAGGCCTGCTCCTCCTCTAAGGTCCCTTCTTGGTGTCGCAATCTTGGAAGGAATTCATCTCAATACAGTCTTGCGACACTTTACTTGGCAAAACTCTGCAGATCACCCAAGTATTTGTTAAGTAATGAAGTTTACTATCTTAGAATAGAAAAAGCATCCAGAATGCTTTTAATGACTGATTGAACTGCCCAGAACCTTCTAGCACAGGAGAATGACTGGACTTAAGGCACTATTTGCCATAATTTGTCTTGACATAGTTTGTCTTTGTAGGAGATAGTTGTAGTAAAGATTTGGAGTCAGACTCAGGTTCTATAGTTGCAAAATAAACTTAAAACCAGAAAAAGTTTTGAAGAAAATTCTTGTTTATTTAGGACAGAAACAGACAACTTTGGCACATTGAAATTTTCAGCAAAATGTGGATATTACATCTTTTTTTTCATTTTATAGTCCTTTAAGAATGTCATATAATATGTTTTGACATATTCCCACCATTCTCCAACTCCTCCCAGAGGCACACCTCGCTTCCCTACCATCCCAACTTCTCATCCCTAGTTTTTATTTAAATCCTTCACATTTTTAAAATCTTTTAAGTACATAGTTAAATACACTATGATCTAGAAATAAACTGAAGGGAGTTTAAAGGAACCATTTAAAGATCTAAGGTTGGAACTGGATAAATTATACACATATATTTTAACAATTGAAGATGCAGTTAATAGAAAGATCCCATTTACAATTGCAAAGGAAGCTTCTGGATGCCTGAATATAAAATCAATGAGAAATAGACAAGATGTCTCTGAACCATTAAACAATAGCCCCAAAACTGTGACAGTGGAGAGATGCAATTTTGAAAGACAAAAGTCAATATTGTAAAGACGTCAAATAAATACATGAAACTGGTACATAAAATTTTCATATTTTACTATGCAGAACCATGAACGATAGTTCTGATACAAAATAAATCACTCTGATAGAATTATCTACACATCGACATTTCAGAGTAAGGTCAAAGGAGCAGCATATAGAATTAAGGGGCAAGCAATGTGTTATTTAACAAGCAATGATGTAAAAATCAGTTGGATTTTAAAAATGGCATAGATATCTGCCACACACATACAAAAACATACTACAAGTTGATTAGAAATAATATTTGTAATAAAATATGAAGCAGTTTGAGTAATAGAACATATTTCTATTTCAGTGTCTGCAATCAGTCTTTTAAGTATGTGAAACTCAACAGCTAAAAATGAAGTTTCTGAAGGAGACTTCTGCAGTTAATTTTAAGCTCCTGCACAGTAAAGAGTTAATGCAACAAATTATGACCAGTGAAAACATTTCAGC